ACCCCGCCCAACAGCCAGCGCGCCCCCTGCGTCCGTTTTTTTTTTTTTTTTTTTTTTTTTTTTTTTTTTTTTTTTGTTATATATATAAATACTTTTTATATTTCGGCACGGCACGGGCCCCCACTTCACCGCTCCCCGCCATCCCGAGCGCGCCCCTCTGCATCGCCCCATTTACCAGCCAGCGCGCCCCCTCTCCGTCCCGAACCCTCTATTTCGGCACGGCCCCCCCCCCAATCCCCAATCCCGCGCGCCTCTTCCGCAGCCTCCCACCCACCAGCCAGAGCGCCCCCTCTGCCCCGACCTTTTATTTCGGCACGGCACCGACCCCACCCGTCCAGTGCCCCACCTGCGCATCACCCCGCCCGCCAGCCAGCGCGCCACTTTCGCCCCGACCCTTCTATTTCGGCGCAGCACCGCCCCCCCCTCCATTCCGCACGCCCCCTCCGCATCACCCTACCCACCGGCCAGCGCGCCGCCTCCGCCCCGACCCCTCGTCACGGCGCCGCCCCCCCATCCCGAACGCCCCCCCTGCATCACCCCTCCCGCCAGCCAGCGCGCCCTCCTCCGCCCCGACCCCTTTATTTCGGCGGCACCGCCTCCCCCATTCCGAGAGCCACCTCCATCACCCCATCCACCAGCCAGCGCGCCCCCTCCGCCCCGACCCTTTTTTCTGCACGGACACAACCCCCCTTCCATCCCACGCGCCCCTCCGCATCCCCCCGCCACCAGCCAGAGCGCCCCCTCCGCTCCGAACCCTTCATTTCGGCACGGCACCGCCCCCCCCATCGCGCGCGCCTCTTCCGCACCCTGCTATCCACCAGCCATCGCGCCCCCTCCGCCCCGACCCCTTATTATAGGCCCTCCGCATCCTCCCACCTACCAGCCAGCGTGCCCCCTCCGGCCCGCGCCCCGTCCGCATCCCCCTACCCGCCAGCCAGCACGCCCCCTCCGCCCCGACCCCTTTATTTCGACACGGCACCGCTCCCTCCCCCGACCCTTGTATTTCGGCACTGCATCCGCCCCCTCCGCATCCTCACCCACCACCGCGCAGTCCACTCCGCCCCGTGTTTTGTTGCTGTTTGTTGTTGTTGTTTTTGTTGTTGTCGTTTGTTGTTGTTTGTTGTTGTTGTTGTTGTTGTTGTTGTTGTTGTTGTTGTTGTCTTGAAAAGCAAGACGTTCGTTGTTGAACATTATTAATTCTAAAGAATAATTATTGTTGGGCCCCTGGTGCACGGCCCCCCTGCGCCGCCTAGGCCGCAGCTACATTTTCATCATTTTCGTGAGGAAGCCTCAGGTAATTCGATGTGATCAAGATCCGGTTGTTTTGTTCCCCCCCGCTTCCCCTTGCAAAAAACACTATAAAATGACATTTCTTGTTCTAATATAATCAAATTTCAAGAATCCCTTTGCAAAAAATAAGGTAAAGTGGACATTCGCGCGCGCAAGACGAAATCCTTCCAAAAGCTTAGTGTTCGCAGCGATTTTAACATAAAAACATCAAAAAACCAATGGTTTTTCAACAAAAAATTGTCAAAATCTCATCCCGCGCGCTCTTGCGGATTCGTATGAAACCCAACACTTTTTAAACATTTCTGTCAAACGGGCTTTTGCGAGCAACTTTTTCGAACTTCTGCGACAACGGTTGCGCACCTGCCAGGGCCATCATCCCTGTCAAAGAATACCATGCGGGACACATTCGTTTTTTCTTCGCGCGCGCACGCCGTCGTCGTCGCCCGCGGGGCCCTGAATAGTAGCCACGGTCGTCCGCATGCCACGAAGTGAAGTGTCCGAACGTCATAGGGCGGGAAGCTGGGTGTGGGTGGTGGCGAAGAGTCGTTTGGAAATTTTGTAGAGCTTGAACCGGCCCCCCACAAAGTGGGGGTATTGCCCGCCTCCTATGAAAACCCTGGCACCGGTGAGAACGGTGTGTCCCCACGTGCTAGTAATTGTTGTTGTTGTTGTTGTTGTTGTTGTTGTTGTTGTTGTTGTTGTTGTTGTTGTTGTTGTTGTATTTCGGCACTGCACCCCCGCCCCCATCCCGCGCGCGCCCTCCGCATCCCCCCACCCACCAGCCAGAGCGCCCCCTCCGCCCCGACCCCTTTATTTCGGCACGGCACCGCCCCCTCCCATCCCGCGCGCCCCCCCCTCCGCATCCCCCACCCACCAGCCAGAGCGCCCACAGCGCCCCGACCCTTTTATTTCGGCACGGCCCCGCCCCGTCCTGACCCCTTACTATAGGCCTTCCGCCTCGCCCCACCTGCCAGCCAGCGCGCCCCCTCCGGCCCACGCCCCCTCTGCATCCCTCTACCCGCCAGCCAGCACGCCCCCTCCGCCCCGACTCTTTTGTTTCGGCGCGGCGCCGCCCCCACCGCAAAAAAAAAAAAAAAAAACAAAAAAAAAAAATCCCACGCGCCCCCTTTCGCATCCCAACCCCGACCCACCAGCCAGCGCGCCCCCTCCGCCCCGACCCCTTTCTTTCGGCACGGCACCGCCCCCCATCCCGAGTGCCCCTTCCATCACCCCATCCACCAGCCAGCGCGTCCTCTCTGCCTCCTCCCCGTTCTTTTCTGTGCAAGAGCCATGGCACGCGTGCCACTTGTTTATAAGGAGCAGGACTGGAGCAGGAGGAGGAGGCGGAGGAGGAGGAGGAGGAGGAGGAGGAGCAGGATGAGAAGGCGGAGGA